ATCAATTGCCAAGAACGCATGCTTTTAGTAGACTGACCGCGTATGTCGACAATCAAGGAATAATCAGAGTTGACGGAAGACTCGGTAGAGCCTCAATTACGCAGGATCACAAACACCCAGCCATTCTCCCTCGACATTCGCGTCTCAGAACTCTTATCATCGATCATGCACACTAACGAACTCTTCACGGAGTCCAATCACGTTGGCATACATTCGCCAATAGTATTGGATTATTAGTGGGAAATTCCTTGTAAAGGCACATATATTGCACTGCGTTGTGTGCGCGCGGAAAAAGGGAATCCGCGCAAAAACATTAATGGTTCAATTACCTGTTTCTAGAGTGACCCCGTCAGGACCGTTCACTCACACTGGCGTTGATTATGCTGGCCCCATAACCATGAAAAACCAGAGGGGGCGAGGTGCAAAAATGTACAAGGCCTGGATCTGTGCTTTCGTGTGCTTTGTCACATCAACAGTTCACCTGGAAGTAGTTTCCGATTATACAACGGACGGTTTCATTTCCACATACAGTAGATTCATTGCTCGTCGTGGAATTGCAAACACAGTATATTCAGACTGCGGTACTACCTTTATTGGTGCAGATGCCGCCTTAAAAAGAATTCGTTCAAGATACCTGTTCGAGATTGAAGCAGTTTGAGCAGAATGTCAAGAGGAAAACAAATAATGTAACATGGCTTGAAAAATCATCATTAAACTTGGTTGATTCTCCAGTAAGTAATCTCGTTTGAGAAAATCCTCACCAAGGAAACAAGGGACAACACAAGGGACCGTCTTACTAACGTGCAAGTAGCACACGAACAACAAGACAACACAGACAACACGTGTAGTCAAAAGAGCCTATCCATGTAATAATTTACAATTATGTTAAGAGGATCTGAAGTTTTACGATCTCTTACCTCCATATGCAGCAGTTCATGCTAACGTCACCCGACAAGTACCAAAGAACTGTAACACTTCTCAACACCATCTTAGAATCATTATTATTGTGTAGTTTATGGAATAAGCAGCAATAAAGCAACTCAAAGTATTGGTAGTCCTGGAACAACGAAGGGACTACATCTTAGTATATCGGATTTCACAACAGCTCTGTTCGGAATTGAAGCAGTGAAAGGCGGAATACAAAAGTGGGAGAGGTATGAACACTTGGACATTTACGTTATAAACACAATTCAGCGAATTCGGGAAATTTCACTCCGCAGAATACTCGAATATTAGATTCTAATTTCGACTATCAATGCCGATGAACTCTCCAAGACTACATCCTAGTGACGTCACCATAAGGATCGGCATAGCAAGAGGCACCGGTGCGCTGCCGGCATACGCAAGCTTCTACGTGAATATTTAAGAGCAGCCCTTGACGCCCTGCGCACTATACGTTTAACATCTACTCAATCACTACACATCTGGCTCACAGTATTTTCTATGATAAATACATTTTAGTGCTCATGGCAATTCTATATTTAGTATTATTATTAAGTAGTGCATCTCACATCAGTGTCACTTGCGCCAGCATGAACTGCAATTAAAAATCTCAGACAATCAAGAACACAAGAAAGAAATCATACCACTACAATAGAATAATTTTCTATCTTAATAGAAGCAATCAACAGCGCTACAGTATTATAATTCATAAGCAGAATAAATAATAATCGAACTCAAACATATAACATTATACTTTTCATCCCTTCCATTTGTGCTTTCTTTCTTCCTAATCACTATGGCGAGAGATTAATCCACTGAACTATTGAAATGGCAGTTCGAGCCATAAAATAAAACGTTAAAAATCAAACAGGCTCAACCATGCCTCAAGGGAGTGAGTTCATTAACGACTGTCCAGAAACGCTGTGCGATTAACACCATATGAAGGGACATCAAGAATTTATCAAGTATCAATGAACAAGCTCAACCCAACCCTCCGGCACAAGACACTAGATTAATACTTGTGAATGCTGTACCCACGCACGCTCAGTACTTATACTCAGTATTTGTTCACAATTCATAAATATGTCAATTGTATAAGAAGACAGGACTATGCTTCAACTGCCAGTCATCACAAAGTTAACATGTGCAAAATCAAAATACAATAAAAGAAATGTTTCAGATCGCACCACATACCATTACATGAAGAAATGTATTCAGAGACTGTTCAAACCATAAATTCAGAGGCTGTTCAAACCAGACGTTCGACCAGCAATTTCAAGCACATCATCCAGCTGAGATGGCAGTGCGCAATCGTCGAAATACCAGTGCAAACCACCACATTGCTAGCCACAGCCGTGGCATAAGTACTATCCAACTTGAGCCTAGACACATCAGGTGTTTAATCTGGACTAGAGAACAATGATATTTTTGTTGCCACCGATGTCACTAACGAGTATAGGTAGATTAAAGCTCACAAGGATAATTTGCACCTTTAGAGAACAATAGATAAAAAACAAGCAATAGAAGAACAACAAGGGAAGTACCTTAGCAGTGATAACAGGCACTCACACTTTCAAGGCCGCCATTCGCGGCAATTCGAACACTACTGCAATTAAAAGAGGACGAGGGAAGTACATACCCTCTCACCATGACAAATCATCATTCAGGGAAGATGAAACCCCTGCATGGCGGGCGGTCCCCTTTTGGCAAAATGGCATGCAACTCACCAAGATGTCATCACCGCCGTTAGCGCGGATCAAAATAAGAGCACTCCGATTACGTTCGATGATTGCTCTAACCAAAATTCATTACGGTGGTCTCCACAAAAGGACACGCTTACGCTCACGACATCAAGGATTTCGGTTCAATTGGTGATCTCACGAAACGCCTCATGTTATCTAAAGTGGCTCAAATAATTGACTCAATAGGTATGTGTATCACCTGTCGTGACAAAGAAAAAACATATTCAAGCAAGAGCTATGGGCTGCACAAGCTCCATGGAACGAGACAATGCCATCTCAGCTTTCTGCACGATGGCTGACAACCAGAAGAATTGCCATTTGTTTAAATTCATCACCCGTTAAACCAAAAAAAAAAAAAAAAAAGAGCCGTCGTCTACATTCCACATATCAAGGGATGCTTTAAGAAAGAGCAAGGACCTTAAGGGTAATGGCAAAACTCTTAAAGGCAGATTCTTGAGAACTTCACGCCGATCAAGTCTCGCGCATCACGCAAAAAGTTGCGAGAAACACGTTGCGAGAACATTCAACCAACAGTTATCGCTCACTGTAATTCTATCACTTGCTCACTCATCTGTTATTATTAATTAGTGTGCTTTATCTATCTAATAGCAGTTATTAATTACTATTACGAAACTTAGCCGTAAGACTGGCAATCGGCCTACAACATATGCGTGCATTATTAACAGAATCTGTAATAACAAGTTTGTAATTTCACAGTGGCGCCTCATTGATTACCATTACCACCACCATCTTCCTATGCTCATTAACGAGCATGATCGATTTCTCATGCTGATCTTTAAAACTTCAGCATAAACTCAATACTCACAGTAATTTCCATAGCATCAACGGCAACCAAGGACACAAGGAAACACCTTCACCACTGCATTAGAATACTTTTCTCTCTCTCTCTTACTTGAAGTAACCAACAAAATTGCAATATTCTAATAATTCATAAGCCAAAATAAAACAATATCTTCATTCAAAATATATATTACAGAATATATTTTCAGACCTTCCACATGTGCCTCTTCCCTCTAATCGCTACGGCGAGAGATATTAATCCACTGAACTATTGAATTGGCAGTTCGAGCCATAAGATAAAGAATATAAAATCCATTGCTGACCCCTATAATATCATCAACGATAGCGCCACCATTACGAAAAAGTAACCACATCATTGTAATAGACTAATCCTCTCCCCTACAAGAAGTAAACATGGAACTGCAATATTGTAATTGTTAATAAAACAGAATAAACGATGTTTTAAAACGAATTTACTCACTGTACGTACTTTCAGAGCACTTCCACACGTGTCCTTTCTTACGCATCGCTACGGCGAGAGATTAATCCACTGAACTATTGAATTTGGCAGTTCGAGCCACAAAGCTTTACTTGCGTGCACATTTGGTCGACCGTACTCATCAAATGAGCATTGTTGTTATACTGATAAAGAGAACGAGCGTTCCTTGCAATAGGATTCGGCGAACGAACGCGTGTCACTTGAACTTTTCCTGGCACAGACTCCATGCGAAACGTGGCTTGGGCTTAGATGACTGGTTTGGATGAATAAAAGAAAATTGGCACTTTAGAACTACCGAGACTGTGTACCGCCGAGGAGTGACTGCCGATGGTAAACTACGAAGAGTCTTGTCGTGCGCTTCCTTAAGTATCGGCGCGGCAACAAACTTTCCCCTATTCGAGAATTCGGCGAAAAAAGGGGTAATTGGTCGAGGCTAGGCAGCCTTCGGAAACGATCGGTAACGATCGGAATTGGTCGGGAATCTAATAGCTTTCGGCTATTCGATTATTTCACGAAATTCATACGAGAATTCAATCGTTGTTACTACGCGAAGACTAAACAGCCTTCTAGAACATTCGAGAATTCTAAGAAGGTGAATCTAAACATTCATAAGCTAGTGGTGAGATTAATGTGAGAAAATGTAAATCGATTCCGAGAACCGACGACCTCGAATAAAATGCTTCGATTCCGAACAATATTGTAGCCTTAGAATAAAATTTTAAACGCGAAATTTATACGACAAAAGCTTGATTTTTTTTCAAATGATAGAAATCTATCGAGAATTCAATCGTTGTTGCTACGCGAAGACTAAACAGCCTTCTAGAACAAATATTTACAAACTGAATAAGATTTTTATTTATATATTATAGATATCAATTATTATAGATATAAATCTTATCTATTATTTTTAATAAATTTTCTTTTATTACAGCACCATAATAATATGACTTTTTTTTTATGAATAAAAATATTTATAAAACAATAAAAATGATTATTAATTTATTTTGTATTACAGCTCAATAATACAACTATGCATTTCTCAATACGGACGCGATCCGCGTCAAACAAATATAATGATAAAAAGCCAACAAACTCCACATTAAATTTAGATACAACTGGTTTATTTCGTGATAGTCGTCTACGAATAAGGTGTTTTGCTGAAATAACGCCAGTTTACAAGGCATCAGCTTTGATTGAAATAACTGAGGAGCGTCCTTATCTTGCATCGATTACGGGTGATGCATCGCCCCACAGTCGTCGTGAGTATATTTATTACTGTTACATCTAATTTATATAGACGAAATAAATAGCTTCTTAAATTGCTTAATTAATTCTCATTCTTATTTTAATTCTGTATGATTATTAAAAAATGTTTAGAAAGTTTTTTTTTATTAATCAAATAAATTATTGAATGGTGCTTCATTGTTGAGCCCTTTAAATATAATTTCACAACTTTGCTTATATCAGCGCACAAAGTAAGCCTGGATATAGGTATTTATTATAGACTCGAATGGACTTATTTATTGTAAACGAAATATAATTTTATGAAGTGGGTTGTTCGCTATTTACGTTGAATGTAGAAGAGAAACCCACAAAAACAGTATATTTTGTGAATATTTTCAATAAACTTATAAGTGATTGAATTTAGTTTGCTTTATTCCCATTATTTTGTAACCATATAAACTACTGATACAGAGAATAACAGCTCCCATAGACCTACCCTCTTTTGTATCATATTTTCTACACTTTTCTTTTCGTTTGCGAAGCTGTAATTTCAAGTATACCTGAAATCCATTCGATCCATGTAATAATGGTGAATTGATAAATTATACAAGTTGTTATCTTCGCTTAATCAAAATATAAGCAACAATTTATATGAATAAATTGAGTGCTTGCTATTTCATAAATAATTTAAAGTAAAGGTATATACTTGACTCCAAATTTGAATATAAAAATATTAAAATTTATACGTTGAATTGATCGATCATAATAAGATCCATAAGTGTATATAATGCATTTTATATTATACTAATTTATTTTTTAAAGAACAAAAAATATTAATCAATAAATATACCTGAGCGTAGATTTTACTTATTTTTTAAGAAGGGCTTTTTTAAGTAAGGCTTATAAAATTTAAATTTATATTGGTTACTTATAAAGATTATACTACATAATCTAATAGGTATTATTTAATGTTTATAGATAAATAGAAGATTTTTGTATTTAAATAATAATATACAATAATAATATACAGTTACAATATATAAAACCATATTTGAAAAGTTATTTTCAATATTTTTTTCTAAAACGATATGTGTATATATGAACGAAAAGTGTTTTCTTCGAAAATTTTTTTTTAAAAAAAAAAAAAAAAAAAAAAAAAAAAAAATAGTAAGCGAATTACAACTATTCGAAATAGAAATGTAGTTCTTATGATCAAAGGACCGCACGTTACATATCTTACTATAGATAAACTTCTAACCCAAAGGACATCAATTCGAGCGTATGTCCTATATTATGATGACCTCTACTAATGTTTCTCTAATGTTTCCAATTTCATCCCAACGAAAATAGTTTCAAAGTTTTTAACGATAACTATTTAATCTGTTCAGAAGTAATATAAGAACAACAACAACAACAACAACAAATATATATATATATATAATATAAGTACGAAAAAAATAAGGTTGATAAATTCAAGAAAGCAAGTAAATAAATGAAAGAGGGCGACTTTAAGTAAAATATCTCGGAAAGAATTGAAGAAGTAAAATTAAAATAAAGATGAGCAAGTGGCTGAAGACGAGGAAAAAGAAGTAAGTGTGTAAAGTAGAAGGCAGAGTGATTGCCAATAGAAGGAATAGAAGTAATGTCTCCATTGTCTGAAATATCAATTTAGTGGACTAAAGTGAGCGATTTTTATCTATCAGACGAATTGCATTTTCATCAAATATATTAATACGTTATATTATGCTAATTTTTGCTCATTTATACTTATAAATGAGCTGAATTTATTATTCCTCTTAGCTGATTCTCTCTGATTGCCTCTCTTCGTCATTGAATTTCTTTTATTATTTTTGTAATTCAAGAATAACATAAAAAAACTTTTTAAAGGGGAATAAGATAATTCAAAGTCTCATATTTATTTTATATCTTACAGATTTTTTATTTTTAGATGAGTAAAATAGATTTTTATCATATTTTGAATGTGGTTTATAAAAACATTCAAATTAAAAACAATTGTCTTATACTCTGTTTTGTTTTTTTTTTCATTTTGTATACTTGATATTTTAAATCGTTACACTAAGTTCATATCTGTTAATCCACATCATTATCAATTATAATTATAAAAAAGTTTAATTTTATTAATGCTACTTAAGGAAATTTGTTATACATATACTTTATTTGTTTCATCTTTAAGGAAAAATAGGCGTATCGATACTTATTGAATAAAAATGTTTTGAGTAGATAAGTAATAGCAGAAAATATGATATAATAAATAAAATTATTGTTACTTAATTAATAAATTTTAAATCAAAGGCAAAATTACGATAAAAATTGTCCAAGTAAATATTTTATTACCAATTTAGTTTTTTGTTTTGATTATAAAATAAAATATGAAATATCGAAATAGTATCTAAATTAAATAAAATTAAATACCCGATAAATATTAGATACGAAAATTTTTTATTTAATTTAATATATATGTCTATTTATTTAGACTTAATACATATATAAAAAATAAAAATTTAAAGAGTCCAGTTTTAAAAAAGATTTTAAATAAGTTTTCAATCGTAAAATGAAATTTTCCCTTAAACCCTAATAGAAGCTTCATATAAATATAATTAATTATTATTTTATTCAATACAAATAAATTATATTACATTAATATAATTAAAAAAACAAATTTAATTAAGATATACTCTATATTTCCTTATATATGATCTGTTTACCAGAGTATTGAGGATGTTGTATCGGAACTTTATCCGAGATATTCAGGGGGTATGATTAATTTTACATATAAATTTTGCATATAATTTTGTAATTAAATGTCTATATATAATAATACATAATAATAATAATATATTAATACAAATACCAACCATATTAATACTAATATTATAATAATCTTCCTAAAATAGGTGTAAAATCTACGTCCAAGTATATTTCTTGATTTTAAATGTATCAGAGTCTATATATACTAATACAACTTTAATTACACTGTATTTAATTTATAAAATGGATGACACATCTTGCTTTGGTTTTTTTTTCCTTGTAACATGCACAAATTAATGAATTATACATGATATAAGTTTCTGATATTAATTAATATATAATAAGTAACTACACAAAATTTTACTGAATTTTGACTTTCTATTACTATTTATATCGTTCAAAGTTCTTAGAAATAAAGGATTTATTCAAAACTAACAAATAATGAAAACTAATGTAAATAAATAATTAAAATATTAATATCAAATATTTTTTGAAGAATACATATTATACATAGTCATATATATTGTTTTTAATGTTTATATCTAATTTATGCAATACGTATACATTATTATTTTACTTTATAATTATAAACTCTCTTATTTTAATTAATGATTCATTACTCGGGTAGTTTTATATTATATAAATTATAAGTTATATAATTAATTACACAAAATTCGTTGCACAAAACTTGTCTACACTCATCTAAGTTAATAAAAGAAAATATTTTTAAAATTTAGGTTATATAAAGTTTTTTTAAAACAAAATTTTTTAATTTATAATGTTTGAATTTATTTGTTGTTTGACATATAATTTTTATAATTTTATAAAACGAAATCTAGTCTAAAATATAATATATTATATACAAAATCTTATTAAATGAAGCAGTTTTTCATTTATGAGAATCTCAAATATAAGAGCATTTATTAAATTTATATTTGAATGAAATCCGTAAAAGTTTGCCGATGGAAAATGTGAGATTTGTGTGATAAACGTATAATGTGCCGTGAGAGTTAAGTAGTGTAAAGGGAAATATAATTTATTGTCAACAACAACAAACGAGTTGGATATTTCAATACCCAATATACGTATTTATGCGCACATGTATTCTGAAATATCTCATTAGTTCATCATATACAAAGGTGCTTATGATTAATGTTTTGCGCATCACAATACAGTTGAATGAAAAAATCGCGAATAATATACATAAAAATAATATTTCAAACCTTTAACATGTTAATACTGCGCGTTTGTTCAATAACATTTGTGCAATAATATATATTTACTAGAATATAGAAATTAAAGTAATTGCATTTATTACTTTGCAATATTAATGAAGTTCTATTATTGAATACATTAATTGATTAATAAGTATCGTCGAACGTAACTTATCTAAGAGCTTTAAATTGACTAAAGCCGTTAAGTATATGTTCTTATAATTATATTACTGTTATAATTATATTCTTATTGTAATATATTTCATTAATATAAAAACTTATTGTTCAAGATAAGTATTTCTTTTTTGACCTACGTTTTTATTCAAAACCAGAATAAAACAAAATAATACTCTTATAATATATAAAGATTTTATAATTACTTTATCAATATTAATTTTTTAATAATTGCGTAATTTAAAACTAACTGTTTGATATCTAAAAATATTTTTTATGTATTAAAAATAAAATATATTAAATATTAACGATTAAGAATCAAATATAAAATTGTATAAATTTAAAAATTTAGTACACTATATTGTTACCTGATCATAAAAATTAATATCATAAAATAATTTTTTTAATAAATACGATGAACAAAATTTATCACTACTTGAATTATCCTTTATTAATTTGTTAAAAATCTAAATTCAGTTGGTTATATATATATATATATATATGCTCTCTATTTTTAATTTATTCAATATAACGATAAATGCAATGTTAAGATTCTGATGTTTATAATTCGGAAGTAAATTATCGTTTTTTTTTATCTAAATTTATATTTTTTAAATCAAAATAGCTTTGAAACTATATATATATATATATCTATTTCCTTGAAAACAATTTTTTTTTTTTTTTTTTTATTGGATAAAATTATATCGAAAGATCCATTGGCAATATTCAATTTTCAGTTTTTATTCAGAACATTTCGACTTTATATTTGTTTTTCATCTCTCTGATCCTTATTTAGACTATCCAACAAATACATAATTATTGCAATTTTTAGTAGTCTAGTATATTTTTCCTATGCGGGTCAGATTTGAATATAAGATTATTGTAAATTCTATTGGCACACGACTGAAAATTAAAAACTCACATAACTAAAATATTACATACATTAAAGCAAGTTCTTTCGTGACTACATTTATTATGAACTTATCGTATCACGGTACATGCACTGGCTATATGTATATAACCAATTTGTAAATTGTAATAATACATAAAATATGATTCATAAAAATACTAAAAATCATATTTGAAATAATTCAACCTACGACTCTATATTTCAGATACTTAATCTTTTTGCCTATTTAAATCTGCGAAGTAAAATTATTATATAATAAATAATTCGAATTATCTATGTACCAATAGCACATAAAGAATAATTAACTCAAAATTTTAGTCTAATTGAGAACCACGGTGATGATTTATTTATCAAGATGTACAAAAATAATTATAAACAAATTATGTATATCACGTATTATAATAGAAACTTAATTAATGATTAAATATATAATAATAAATCACAACATTTTTCTATAGTGTTTTCTTATTTATAACAGAATATGATGTTAAAATTACAAGTAAACAAACTATAAGCAATAATACAGATTAATAAAAATTAAAATACATATATCTGAATGAATAATAAGCATTATTAAACTTAAATTTAAATCAAAATCGAATTTGAATTATTAAAAATGAATTTATATTATTAAGAATAATTTATGAAAACATACAGAGGTAATGAATAATATGACGAAATGCCATTGGTATTTTCCATAATATTATTATAAATTCAAAAAGACATTCGATTCATATATAATTTATTGAATTTATAATTCATTTACAATTTAAGTAAAATTTTATAAAATAAATCGAAATTAAATATCAATCTGCACTGCTGTAATTAAACAAATTAAATAATTGCAGTCGAACTTTTGATTGCAGTCCTTAAAATATGTAATATATTTTTATAAATAGTTAATTATGATGAGAAAAGTATATCGAACGAATAAATGACAAATAAAAAGTGAATTAAAAACACTTTCAATGTATTTTTGCAGAATCCGATGGATGTAGTCAAGTCATCTTGATATCCTTTTGGTCTCATAAATCAGCAGTGTTGGTGCTAAGCCTATTCCTAAACCTACTAATAGGAACCGTTTCAACAAGATAGTTACTGTGTAGTGTAACTATGCAAATGATAACTCAAGGACGTCCTCTCTGCTTGCCCCAATTACATCGTCCATGTAAACCTAGTAGCCTAGGGCTTCCAATTATGTATGTTACTATGTACAATGGAGTAGATAGATGAATGATTTTTATTCGAGGGGTGATATAATGAGAGAGGTTTGATGAGTAAATGTGACAAAAATTACAAAAAATTAAAAATGTTAATAAATGAATTAAAATATAAGACCGAAACTTAGTAATAAAGAAAAGGTAGCCATGACGATCAAGGCTATTATTAAAAGTTAAATAAAATATAATTATAAGAAAAAACAATATACACGTACTAATATGAAATGCGAATATGATATACAGTTACTTTTGAACATGTTATCTTTTGATGTAAATTGTTAATAAAACGCATTTACATAATGCATTCACAATATGTTATGCAGCTTCAAGTAAGTGCTGATACAACATTGTAACTGATCTTTATTTACTATTACCCTTTTCTGTATAAATAAACTCCTTAATTATCGCGTATGAAAAGGTATATATATATATATATATATGTATACATTTTTTGTTTATTATTATCCATATTTTTAATAATTAAACAAATTTATACTTTAAAAAGAAAATTAAATTTAAAATTTTATAATTACGTGCGACATTATAAGGTAAGTAACTAAAAACATTTATTGACTTACATTAAAGATATATATTTATTAGAACTTCTTTTTTTTTTTATAATTACATTAAATAATTAATTTTTAATAAATTTTTCATTTTAAGTATATAGTGCAAAACAGTTATTAATTTTAAAAACATGCTTTTACTATGCAATATTTATATAATTTTTTAAATAAATAGAATTATTAATACAAAAGCAATTCAAATAAATACAATATTTACAATAAATTTAATTATAGAAATACATATATAAATTTTACAGTAATAAAATTACCATTATAATTTATCTTAATGTACAAATATGTTTATAAATGTAAATATATAAAGAGAAACATATAAAGAATATGAGTAAGAAAATATACACGAGAGTAATGGAGGAGAGATACACATATATTATACATTCGAGGTAGAAGACAGTAGTTTCCTTTAAAGTAGTAGAGCAAATTTCTCTCTCTCTCTCTCTCATATATATATATATATATATATATATATATACATATGAATAATCATAATATAAAAATAAGTTTTTATTTTATTTAAAAAAATATTTGTAATTTCACCTTTATTCGATATTTTATTAAATACATTACTTTAGAAAGGAATCTAGCAAATAATTTATTTCTTTCTCTTCTCAGCAATTTAACCAATTGAATTTATTTATTTATTTGATAATTGCAATAAAATTATTTATATATAGGCTTCCTTTAAAAGACTACATGATTTTATTTAAGAATTTTGTAGAAATCATTAATAATTACATTGTTAAACATAAATAAATTATTGAAATACTGCAATTAAATTGCTTTGCTGCTTTTAATTATAATATATTTTGCTTCCTTCTATATGCATTATTTTTATATTTATCAAAAAAATTTATGTATATATTTTATCAGAGATGTCACATTTAATTTTTAATAGATCATCTACTAAATCAATTTTAACAATTTACTGTAACCCATTGCTAAAGTCAAATTATTAGCTCTAGCTGATATTAATGTTTTATCTCATTTTAATAAATTAATCTTTTATTTTGTTTTAATTATTATTCTTTCATAATAATTATCTTTGAACGTATATATTATATTTTCAATTATAAAATACATTCTTAATTACTAAAAATAGTGAAGTAATTTTTTCATGAATTATATATAAACGCAAAAAGTGAATGCTCATACTACCTTTGACCCATACGATCCATAATTTAAGTATTTTATGCAGTAAAATTCTTTATTAAAGTTCTTTATTGCTTACCATATTTTATTGCTATTTTAAGTTACGAAATTTTGTGATATTAATTTTTGATAATAATTCATCTTTGCATCCAACCTATAAAATGTGTCATCTATCTGTTTATAATTTCTTTGAAATATATATATATATATGTATATGTGTGAGGAATATTCTTCAAATTTATGGCTTACAATATGTTGTTTCGTAATTATTATAACAAGAACATAGTGACTTCTTTTGTTAGATAAAAATTTTAAAACGCATTTACAAAGAGAGTAAAAGAAAGTATGTGTAAAAATGTCTCTATCTTTCATGTTCATTACTTTTTAATTGATATTTTAAACTTAATTGCTTTGCACACGATACATTACAATATTTTCGTAGAGTAATTTTAATACTTTAAAAGGATGCAAAATCTTTTAAATTGTATATAATTTTGAAACGATTATAACTCACACGTTTATTTTTATATCTGTTTGTATATATATTCGTATTGTTAGCTTCGGCATAATATAAACTCTTTTCTGGCTTCTACACCATTTTTCTTTCCTTTAGAAAACCTTTCATATGAATATATTTTTATAGATATATTTTCATTTAAGTAAAATCGTATAGTAAATATAATTTTAATAATTTTATATATATTATTCATATGTTTAATACTAAAATTTAAAAAGCTTAGTCAGACAGTATTCACTTTGTCGAATTGTCTTAATAAGACGTACAATTTTCATATTTAACATGTCATTTTTTTTTTACAACAGCTTTAGCAATTCTAATAATTGTCATTTGAGCAATATAACTACAAATTAATCTCTCGAACCTTTTGATTATTAACGTGTTCTAATATATGTTTCCAAAAAATCCCATCACGAGACAAATTTTTCTATTACCCGTGAATTTAATCAATAAAAAATAATATGTTACTAAAATATTGCATTTACCAGTACAATTTTTTATAAAATTGTCGATTGTACTTAAAAATTTTATAAACGAACTATATGATTCATTTATTCTTCAATATATCAACAATTTTTGGTTTCTTATTCCTTTAAAATTACCATTCATCCTGCATTCTTTTAAATCAGTAATTCACCATATCCTTTCAAGCTTGCAAGATTAATTCAATAATTTTATAAATTGGGATAATAAATTTAATTTTTGAAATTCTTTTGCAAATGTTTTCAATTCAAATTCAATCTAAATAAAATTGTTTAAATGAAAAGACTATGAAAAAAAATTATTTTTACTGCTGTTTCACTATTATTTCACACAAAAATTAGTCTTTGAACTAAGTTCAAGCCAGTAATAACATTTACTTTATAAAATTAACTAAAGGCTTCGCTCACTAATTCAAAATATCGGCGTACATTGCATTTTATTGATGTTTAAACACTTCTATTTAAACAATACAGAAAATATAGAATATTGCTCCATAGCCAACTTCAAATTACAAAAATTTTAAATAATTGATATGTTATATTTTAATAATTAAAATGAATATTTTTTATATTCATAAATCATAGTTTCATAAATTTTATATACTTTAGTTTAAATACAGCTGAAATAAAGTTGATTTCATAATTTTTAAATCTTTTAAAATGGATTTTTTAAATTCCTCTTTAATAAATGTTATTGTTATAACTATGCAATGATTTAATAACTACTGATAAATTCAATAATTGATAAATTAAAGAAATAAATGGAATTTTTTTAATGTTTTGTATACTTTTATTAACAATATATTACGATTTTATTATTATTAAAATATAATCATATTATCACATTGTATGTTTAAATATGAATGATTCCGATTACGTTTCTTGTACAATTTTAATCTCAGACTTTATCAAGTATTCTTCATTAAGATGAATTTTTTATCCAAAAGAATATATTATATTATCATTTATTTTTTGTAAAAATTATATTATATTATTTTATTTTTTTTATAGAATCTAGAAAATTTTAATCGATATAATATATAAGATTATAAACAAATAGTATATAAACTTTCATATAGAAAAATCATTAACAATCTTAAAATAAAAATGCATAATTATTTAAAAGAAATAAGTCTATTAAGCAATATATTTGAATAGATGATTATTTATTTAAATAAGATATGTAAAATTGTATACGTAAACACACAACGTCTCGTTGTGTTATATTGTTATATTATAAGTTATATTGCTAACTTATATATTAAATTATTACGTATTACAAATATCCATTTAAGTATTATATAATATGCATGAAAATTGATGGATTGCTGTTTAAAATCAAGCATATAAACTTAAAGAAGAGAATTACTAATCATGCATACATAAAATGAACGAAAATATAAATATTGAAAGTATCTCAGCATTCAAACTTCTCTTAGTCCTTATATTTACACATGGTTTAACTAAGTAATTCTTGCGCCATTATATTATTTAATGAAACGAGCACTTTCATCCTCATTCAGAGTCTTAGCTACGCGAATTAAGTAACTCTTCACTTATACTATTTTCACTTATTCACTTAATTATGTGCATTCTTTGATAAAATGAATTTATCTCTCTTTTTTTCTAACATATAACAATATTATGTTAGGCAATACATATTTGTCAGCTCATAATTTCAATTACTTTCTGTTTATGCAGAAACACCTTCTAATATTTGATAATTTTGGAGGATGCAATTATCGCCAATATCATCCAATAAGAACATAACAAATCACAAATTTTATTACATAATTGAATCACAATTTGTTAAATATGTTTCGGTTTAGTTTTATAACAAATATTATTTATTTTATAAGATTATGTATTATAAGATTAAACTATATGGAATCTATGAAATAAAATGATCTCATCATCCACTGAATGTACATAATAACAATAACAAATATCTCTTTTTTAAATAAAACAATATGTTTTAAATTAAATAATTTAATTTAAAAAAAAACAAAACAGTGTTTTAAATAAAACAATAGCATAACATTACACATATATTCTTATTATATTTTTATCTTATTTTTTCTTAAGTTAATCGTATTTTTCAGTTTTGAAATAAGAAAATATTAATAATAAATGATAAATGATTAAATTCACATTTATTTTTCATAACTATTTCACACTTGCGTAATTATAATTAATCATCTTATCTAGGAAAAAATATATAAATGATGCATTAGAAATTAAAAGCAAAATAGTTAAATTTTTAAATAATTAGTCTCTAAGTAATACAAATTAATAAATGCTTAAATATATTTCTTTTATATTACATCGTTCTATAATAATTGTAATTTTATATTAAAATTAATTTTATATTAAAAGTAACATTATAAATTAAA